ACGGGATTTTTATTGCGCTATTGTGAAATTTAAAATTCAAGCGATATAATCGTATGTATGTATGTAGCTTTATGAAGCTTAAATAAAATACAAAAAAAATAAAAAATTTAAATCTCATCCACCAAAATCTGTGGCACAGCTTCCTCGTGCGCAGTGAAATTCGCATTGCCATTTCGCAATTTGAATTTTTTTTCACTGTTCGCTACCGCTGTTAATTGCTGCTATTCTTTGGCTTTTTCGCTTTAACACTTTCCATAATGAATGCGACACTTTTTTTGCCAACAAAAGTGCAGCAAAAATAATCGCTGAAATGCGTCGCCAAAAAGGCGAAAGGTGCCACATTGCGCTTTAAGTTGTTTTAAGCTAAATGTAAGCTTTTCCTTTTATTTAAGCCTTAGCTCAAAATGCATATTTTCAATCCTTGCGCCGTACATATGTATATTGCAATATGTTTTATTGTGCTACTGTAGTTTGCACAAAAATGCGCACATGAGTGCCGCCACTACGCTTTAAGTGCACTTTTCTATGCTCGTTTAGAGCTACTTAAACTTGTGCATGCATGTTGCAATTAAAATGTCCTTAAACTTGTGCGCGGCGTAAAAAGTGTCTACATACTCGTTAAACTTGTACAGCGATTTATGTCTAAAGTTGTGTGTGCATTTTGTAAGCACTCATGCTTTTTAGTCAACTAAATGTTAAGCTACAGGTGACGCTTGGTGCTTACAAAATTTACGCCATGCTTACAACTTTGAATGTGCGTTTATTTTGTAAGCGTTTGCGTTAAGTGGTACAGTGCAGTGTGATGCATTCAATGCGCGAACGGCTTACAAAATTGTTGCAGTTCCTGGGGTATTTAACAACAATTAGAAATTTTTAATTTTTTTTTTTAATTTTTACTAATCTTGAAAGTGTGTCATTCAGCCTCATTGCGAGAGTCGTGCCGAATGCAAGTCGTTTTTCGAGAGTCGAATCGTATCGAAAATTTAGCGTCATTGCCTAAAATTTCCACTCGACTAGTGTATTAAAACGGAAGAACTTGGCAGCACTGCATAGTTTTCGACAATTTTCGTCGTTTACTTATTTCAGCACGACAGTAGACAATGCTAATGTTGTCGAGTCGTACAATTCAGCCTAATTTACGACTTACGCAATGAGGCTGATTATTGCAGTCAACAAAGCTCATAGTATTTTGCAATCAATATTTACACTCAACGCTTGCTTATTTTTCGATCTTGCTTAGCAATTGCATGCAACTAAACTGACAGCTTTGACGAATATTTCAATGAGATATACTCGACGCAGCATGCGTACGCAATGTCAAGTGCTTGCAACATACTTATTTTACTTACATTCTTATACAGTGGCATGCCTTTCGCATATTTTTACAAACACATGCACATACATATGCACTATATATGTATCTACATACAAGATTTCCGCTACTTATCGTTTCATCTTTGCACGAAATTCCCATAAACTAGCTGCTTCGTTATCCTGAAAGCGCTACTTTCTGCACTAAAAAAAATAAAACAAGACAATTTTATTGCCAACGCAATTCCGCTTATTTTTCCAACATTGAAAATTTAACTAAATTCAACTGCTTTGTACACTGAATTTGCGTATTTCCTCAAGTATGTATTTTGCGTGAGCACGATTCATCCATTTTCATTTTGCTCACATTTTACTTCCATTTTCAGTTTAGCATACTGCAGTCATTTTTCAACAACAAAAACTACAACATTTTTTTATTTTGCCTGGTTTAAGCCTGTATTTGGGTCATGACTTTTATGACATCTGTTGCTGAAATGCAGCTAAATGACCTTAGCATTGTTAGCAGCAGCAGCAGCAGCAGCAGTGGTGGTGGTAACTTCAGCAATGTATTTCTCTTCGCAATTTCCATTTTGCTTTGAAATTTACTATCTCCCTAAGCGCTTACTTTGCCTGCTTTATGCTTTCATCAATTACGTGCTTGCTTGGATTTTTCTTGCTTGCCAGCAACGTTTGCTAATGATAAGTAATGAAATATCAGTTCAATTATAATTTTGTAAACCTTCTGCATTTCATGACCTAATGGCTTCTAGCCTTTTTCTAAAAGATTTTGCTTTAATGAACTTTGTCGCTTGGCTTTTCAGGCTTCTGCTGTATGAAAAAATGTTTTCTTGTTACTTTTCTATTCACTACGAAATAGTCCGTTAGAAGACATCAGCAATTACAATGTATGAAATCAAAGAAGCTTGAAAAATATTTTGCTTGCACAATATTTTGTAAGCACATGTTAATTTCAGTGATTTTGCCTGCGTTGAGCAGTTTATAGCAACTGCTTACATTTTTATTCAACTGCTTACACATTTTTGGCAAAAGCTTTAAAACGGAAAGCAGATCTTTAGAGCCCATGTAAATGGTTTTTAAGATTTTTGGAAAATATTTTTAGTTTTACCGCTGTAAAGCTATGTAGGAAGAAATATTTTGTAAGCGTGTCTAATTTTTAATACCCGAACTTGCATCCGACAATTTCTAGTCATTGCTTACAATTAAATTCAAGTGCACACAAATTTTTTTGCCTAAAAAATTTAAAACAGTAAATACAGTTTTTCTTTAAGAAAGTGCATCAAGGGTTTATTAATTTTAAAAAAAATCTGCAAAAACCTTATAAAATATTTTGTAAGCGTGCCTAATTTATAGCGTCTGAACTTGCTTACAACGATTTCTAGTCATTGCTTACAATTTTTTTCAAGTGCTTACAAGTTTTTTTGCAAAAAAAAAAAATAATAATTGAACGGAAAAAACTGAGTTTGACACACGCGTTGAGTTTTGAAATAATTATGAATTGTTTAGACGAGTGCTTAGTTACGCAAAATTTTTTAATATGAAAATACTTACATATATATTGAGTTGACTTAACGTCGGACTCTTCACTATGTCCCACAAGCACTTCTTAATTACATATATCCCTAAGCATTTGCTTTGCTCAAGCACGCAACTAACCCGAAATTACACAATCGCAATTTGTTTTGTTTTGTTGCTTTTTATCGTTTCACATTGCTTTTTGTTAATAAATTATTATGGTTATTATATGTATTCACGCGCGCCCGCAAGCATACTTCAAGGCGTAAAATTATATAATTTTCTGAAGTGCTTCCCTGTTACTTTCGCTTTCTTTTTAATATACTAACTACTACATGCATACGCTCCAGTTGAATCGGTTTCCGCGCTCAATTTCACTTTTGGTTTTGATTGTTATTTTATGCTCTATTCCATTTGAATAATTCCACCCAAGTGATTACAGCACCAACACCAACACCAACATAAGCGCCATTCAACTGCCATTATATGATGGCACGTGTGTGCGTGCGCCTGCAAATATGTTGCTTACAGCGTTGTTGACTCGAGTGTCGACTATTGTCGTTTGCGTGCGCTCATTCACAGACATATACATACTTAGCTGTATTTGTTGTGCGGATTTTTTATGTTTGTGGCAGGGATTCCTTACATTGCTTGCTTGTATTTATTCGATTTTTATATTTCACTCTTGTTTTCTGTTTTGTAATCATTATCAATAATTCACAGTAATTTTTTTCGCGTTTCATTGGAAGTTCCATGCTGCATATTTCATTATATATTATTTCACATTTGCAACGATATCTTTGAAAGTCAGTTGTTGGTATTGGGGTAGAAATCGGGGGACGGTTTGCTAAATTTGCTCATGCATAAATGCATATGGTAGTTGTAAAAATTGCATGATTACGTTACGAACGCACTGATGCGTGTCTTCGTTTATGTATGTATTCAGTTGTACTCTTTATTTTATTATTTTACGTACGCTTGGACTTCGTTGTGGTGAAATTAAATATTCTGCGGCCTTTTTTCAATTACATGTACATAGCATTGATGTGACGGCGAAAATTTTTTAAACTTTTATTACACTGTTTAAATACAAATCTATGTTAAAAGTGAGTCAAAATTTGTAAGCGCTCTCTTCCTATTGTCAACTGGTGCCCATCTAATGCATTTCAAACGTTGCTTACACCTTTTAAAAGGCCGTTAAATATTTTTTTAAGACATTTTTTATAAGCCTATATAGCAAATTATAGCTGAAAATATATGTTTTCACATATTTTAATCGCTTACAATTTTTAACAGACGCTTACATAAAAAAATTCGAAGATAGCATATCTAGTGTAATAACATCTACTACACTGATTGAACCAAAAAAAAAATCCAATTATATAATCTGCATATGTTACAAGCACTTAAAGTGCATTGTCGACTGTTGCCTAAATGGTCAACGGTTGTTTACAAATTATTAAAAGTCATAAAATGTTTTTAAAGGAATTTTTTAAGCCTGCGTAAGAAATCATAGCTTAAAACCCACATTATAGCTTAATAGTATAAGCGCTTACAACTCTTTCCAGACGTTGGCTTGAAAAACTTTAAAATAAACGCGGCATTTATTTTAATAATTTTTATTTGGTATTTTTTCTATGCTTAAACCGACATAAAATTTGTAAGCACTTTTTCATATTACTTGCTGGCAACCATATTATGCAATAAAAAAGTTGCTTACAACTATTAGAAAGTCCTAAAATATTTATTTTAAAGAAATTTTTGTAAGCCTTGGTCAAAAGTTATAGCTTTAAATCGACGTTATAACGTAACATATGCGCTTACAATTTTTTACCAAATGCTTGCTTTGAAAATTTAACTTATTCAAAATTCTATTTCTTTTGAATTGCATTGCAAAATACTACTTTTCCATCCCTTTGCTGAAATAAAAATGAAGAAGTTAAAGAGTACAGTTTTTTTCTGGAAGACTCTGAAAATAAAAAGGAGAAATCAAATTTAATTGAAAAGTCTTCAGAAACATAATTTCATAATGTTAAAAAATTTAAGTACATCAGTGCTTACAACATAATTACAAAAACCAATATAAATTCAAAATAAATGAAAATTCCTTAGAAATCCCTACTAACAATTTCTCTATTTTTTCTCCCACCTTTCAGCAACTTTTCCGCTCACAAAATCCCGGACTCGCTGCTACAAATGCTGCAGCCGCCGCTGCTGCTGCGGCAGCTGCCACATCGGCTGCGCAACCTGGTGCACCGAATGGCACAATGCAGCCCCAACAGATGGCACAAATGGCCGCCTCGCAGCAATTTCTGGCCGCACAACAAAATGCCGCCTATGCAGCGCAACAAGCCGCACCCTATGTCATCAATCCGGGTCAGGATGCAGCACCCTATATGGGGCTGATAGCTGCACAAATGCCACAGTATTATGGTGTGCAATGGGGCATGTACCCGAGCAATCTGATACCGCAACAGGGCACACAGCCGCGACGGCCGTTGACGCCATCGCAGCAGGGCGCTGAGAATCAATCGTATCAGGTGAGTAAAAACAACTAAAACTTTTGCGTATAAATTTCATAAAAAAACTTGCACTATGGCAGTCAAGTTGTAAAATTTACATTTAACAAAAAGCTAATGCACCAAACGAGCTGTAATTTATGAGAGCGCTATAATAAAAATTTTGTAAAATTTTACAATGTACATACATTTGTTTGTGTAAATTACTTTTGTAAAAAAAGAGTTGTCAAAAAATCCATACCAATTTGCACATAATTATTTTGTAAAGAAAAAGTAGGAAAAAGTACAATGTACGCCTACATGTAAAATTTCACAAAAATCCAAACAGTCAGCATTTACCTGAATTAATTCCATATACTAGTATATATATATTTTTTTTTGCAATCAATGCAACTGCTCATATCGCAAATTTAAATATAAATCTGTTTAGGCAGCATTGTATATGTATATATAAAAAAAATTATAATTTGTACATAAATGGACTTTAATTAAATGAGTATATATATTTTTTCTTCTATTTTCTATAAACTCATAACCTTCATAAACAACAACAAAACAAAACAAAAAATATCAAATCAA